ATCGACTGCAAGATATTTTCCCAATATTTTTCCCCCAAGAACATTTTCTTCCCAATATTTCATTTCAACATCGACGTACCGTTTTGCTTTTCTCTTTTTATCATTGGCATTTTCTGTTTCAGATATGCTGCTTCACCTTCTATATACCCAACACTCTTAGTTCCGTTTTTGATTGGACCTGCAACAGTTATTATCTCCAGTTCTTCACTCGAATTACACAGTTCTACTTCCTTATTGCCTAATTCATTGAACCTGTATCCTCATCCTCGGATCTGCATTTGTAAGCTCTTGCTTGTAAGGTCTAGCTCTTGCCAAGCAACAAAACCAAATTGGAGCGTTCGCAACATCTATCATACATTTGCACAAGTGTGAACCGCTAATGTGGAAAAAACCATATGCGTAATTGCAAATCTTATGCGGAACGCATTGAAAATTATTACACTTACCGTTAACTGTTGGAAATTGTAAATCACAATTGGCTCATGTGATAAATTTGTATAAATTATTTACTTTAACCCGTTTATTTATTCATTATTGCAATCGCATTGACCCTAGCATTGCATACTTTTTAATACATTGTATACTTTTTACTATATCTTGTATACTTTTTAACGTGAATGTAATTCATTTTACTTTGTTATAGGAGTAGACACAAGCTTGGACTATATAAGTAGCACAATTAGAACTGGGGATACAGGCTGTTAAAATTTAACCCCTCTTGGTAATCTTTAGTGACTTCTCACCAATTTATAACCATTTGGAAGTTGGAAGTTTCTGTAAGCATTTCTGGCAGCTTCTACACATTTTCTAGAATTTAAATACCAACAATGGTAGAGTGGATTAGGCTGTGGAACATTAGTATTTTGACTTAAATTCAAATATCAGGAAGAAGGGTGGCCGCGCAAGTGTTTTCGTGGACATTTCCATGCGTACCGCTAATACCAGCTAAGTGAGCTTCGACATGATCAAATAACGATTCAAAGTGTAACACAGATTTTTACATTTAGAAAGTGCATTGATGGATATAAAAAATTCTTGTCACTACCATTTCTGATTGAAATATAACCAGAATCGGCCTGAACAGTTCGAGAACGAGAATCCATTACGATCAGAGAGCATTAGAAATGATTTCTTTCGATTTAGTGTACGCTACCTTTAATTGGTTTCTTCATGTGTAAAATTTATTATGCATGGAATTTGCAGTTTTCTTCTTCATATATCTGCCAAATTATTCATACAGGGAATGTACACTGCGGGAAGAAAAAGGGAGACGGTTCTATATCTCCCATTCTACTGGGCCGATTGTCGAAATTCAAATTGTGTTTTTCATATCTCAAAAGCGCGATTTAGGATATATATTAGATTTATATATAACACTGCTTTAATATAGGTATTTTGACACAAAACCGGACTTTTTCTGAAATGACATGCGAAGTTTTTCCCCATTTCGATTCTACTATTTACATTATGCCTAAATATTAAATTTTGTAAAATTTGGTGCGAAATTTATGGAGAAATTTAAAAATTTATCTTTGCGCAGTTTTTTCAGTTTGCGCCAAGAATAATTCACATGGCGAACTTCTTAATTTATAGTAACGTATTTTACTTGCTTTTTTTTTCCATTGTAAAACGAGTGGAAAAAGCCATCGTTCATTATTTCAAATAATTTTAACAAAGTTCGTAAACTACATTTGGCGTTATTATCGCTTATAACAAATATGTCATATTTCAAAACGCGCCAATATGTAAATTCATGTATATCTTAGGAAATTTTGAATAAAAAAGTATAATTTTTTGCAGGTGTACTTAGAAATACATCTACTTTAAGATGATGGTGAAAGTTTTATAGGTCATAATTCAAATTTTTTTGAAACATTTATAAAAATTATTTAAAATTTCAAATCTAAAAAAAATTATAAAAAATGGGTGAATTTTATTTGGAATGAACCTGAATTTCGAAATGTGAAAGGAAGAATCAAGATTAATAAAAAAGAGAGATAAATAAATATATACCAAACTCAATTAACATTGAGGATCTAAAATTTTGAGAGCTAATTTTTTAGAAACTAACTACTCGGGCGATTTTTACTAAAACTTGGTAGTTTAAAGTAATTTGAGTCGTAGAATGGAAATATGGAAAAAAATGGTATGTTGTTTCAGAAAAAGTCCGATTTTGTGTCAAAATAACTATATTAGTGCAATGCTATGTATAAATATAATACATATCCTAATACATCTAATACATATCCTAAGTCGCGCTTTCGAGACATGAAAAGCGCAATTTGAATTCTCCAATCGCTGAAGTAGAACAGGAAATATAGACCTGTCCTTTTTTTTTGCGCAGTGTCCATTCTTTAACATTCAGTAACTGATATTAAAACTGAGATCTACCCCAAGAGAATCAGTTGCAATAAAAGTAGAAGTTACTTGATAGCGGTAATGGTTATGAACAGAAGCGCGCGGAGAAGCAGCAGCTACTTCGCTACATACGTATTAATTTATATACCACACTGAAATTTAGAAAAAAAAATCAAGTTGTACAGATTTATTTGGTATGCGCCTCATAAGTAGCAATAATAATAATAATAAACTTGGCGCTGTCACTCAGTGAGAAGGAAGGAATTGCATTGACTGCATTGTATTAGGCTTGTGTGTCAAGCGAAGTTATATACAATGGAAAGTTATGGACCAGAGCAATTTTTAGGAGAAAACTGTAACCGATAAATATTATAGCAATTTGAAGTGATTTATTTTGTAAATAATGGCATCGCGATACTCAAAATTGCGAGTTGTTAACTTTTATGTTGCGACGTGTTAACAGGAAATTTGTATCGTGTTTAAACGGCCTTTAAGGAACAGTTAAAGAAACCATTTAAGAACACAAAATTTCACTATGGAAGATTTGCTATTCTAGTAAATTAATAATTCGTTTTTGATCACAACAGTGGAGAGTAAAGCTTCAGTCAGAAGGCTAGCAGACAAGTAAGTTCACTAATTACTTATAGTAAAAGAAGTTTAACTTTTTGAATTAATTCTTTTAATTACAACTTGATTTTAAAGGACATGACGAAATCACAAAACAAGGAGGTTTAATACGGTTTGAATAATTTCTTAAATCATTTAGCATAAAATTAGTCAATACACAAAAATATCACTGATTAAGGTACTACTTGCAGGATAACAATTTTTCAACTAATTAAGAATCATTGAAATTTAAAAAGGCCTACAGTTGCTGAAATTGTGCACTAACAGTGCTACTTTTCGTCTCTAGTTTAAGGGAAGGAAAAGAATATGAGCACTACTAATAGGAAGTTTTAAGGAGAAAAACATTTAATAGAAAGAGTAGGAAATATATTTGTAAATAATTATTGTAAAAGACTCGTGGTTTGAATTTTGATGAACACACATTTATTTTCTCACAGTTCTGCCTATGGAACAAAGCTGGTTGGTTTAAGAACTGAAAATGTGGCGGATGATATTTGATTCCAAATATTTCTAATCTTCTCCTAGATTTAATCGACTGGATCTCGTTCTGTTATCAGTCATTCTTTAGGGGCACAATGCAAAGAATCTTTCCATTCTGCCATGAGTGTTGCGCATGATTAAAACATCGATCTAGCAAGTGGAAAATATGTAGGTCGAATCCCGGTGACGATAACACTGATTTTCATATTTACCGCCTTGAAAAAAATCTAAAGGCCTCTGCATATCTGTAAATCAAAGAAATCGCAGCTTTAAGTACCATCCTGTAATTTGTTCTGCTCCAAGCTAACTGCCTCTACTTCTGTTAAAGTTACAGGGGATTTCATTACGTTCTTTATATTATCTTGGTAGTTGCTATCAACCATGCAAAAATACTCCATTTATATGAAGAAGTGTCGCGCATGCTATTAGTAGAAATAGCTATTGTATAGTCTTGGATCCTGATTCGAATCCCGAAGAAGGCATGGTGAAGAGTGCCTTTGCAGCATGCGGGTGTTTAAAATGCTGTTGAGCCGAATGTCTCCTCAAAGGTTTGTGCCAATGTAAGATCAGTAACTGACCATCGGATCCCATTCCTCTATCTGTTCCCAACAATGTTCTTTATCAAAATTGCAATCAAATTTCGTCTTCCTCTCGTTTGTAAATCGTCGTCTCTTGGCATACACCCCGGGCAACTTTATCCATGATGAGACAACTAAATGATAAATGGGTTTGAGCCATTTCCTACGAATGCTTTAAGTAAGCTTCCGGCTAACTAAAACAAGTTTCCCTTTCTAGAAATACTACCACAATGTTTGAAGAGGTAAACTTTATCTTGATAAGTGTACCTTTTCCTCTTTATGACATATCGTATTCAGTGTTTTATAAGAATATAAAGGTTTTCAAATAGTTTCTAGTTTGTTAGATATCTTGTAAAATATAAAAAATTAGCTATTCGTTACTTGCGTTTCCAGTAGTTTGGCTTACTTGATTACGATAAAGTACTTGAGAGTTATCTGCCTACGGGGATGGATGCTCTCGTGGAGGACTTTTTAACCTTTTAACTGTCATGCCCGAGATAATCTCGGGCACAGCACTGGTGTTCGAAAATGTCACGCCCGAGTATTACTCGGGGTAATTTTTTTTTTTGAGTGCATCGTATTGTTATACCCGAATATATATAGGGAGATGTTTATTTCGGCTTCATTTCTTTGTCAAACCCGACTGTATCTCGCGAAAAGTTTGACAATTTGTGTACCCAAATCATCAAAATAACTTGACAGTTAAAGGGTTAAGTGAAAATGACTCGTATGCACGAAAACCACGAAATTGGCCTTTGGAAACCCGAATCGAACTAACAGTGTTCAGCGACACTATCGCTTGCCTGCTGGTGGGCTTAGTTTTCAATGGATTAAAAAAATAAAAGGACAGTGAATAAAACGGCCACTACGTTGGCAAAAATTCCTAATTAATAAATATATTTTTTAGCAGAATATGATTCTAAAAATTTAAATAATCTTATATGAGCTTCCTTTCAGATATCTCAAGTTGCTGAGTAAAAACAGAAATGACAGCTACGGAAGAAGAAACAAGTGCTGAAAATAAAGCTATAGAAGAGGCAAGTAATACAAAGATTATTTTGATAGAAATAATATTTTATAAATAGCCTCGGTATTATAAATTTAACTTTAGCTCTTATTTTTGATGAAATCTTTTCTCTTAATCTTTGATGTATAACTCAATATATTTATTTTAGTAGAAATATCAATGATCTCGGTCATATTAATGTAACTCGGTTAGGGATAAGAGATGAAGTGGTATTATTATAATAACTGTGTGATTTTACATGGTAGTGAAAGTAGTGGCTAAAGTAGTGGCTAAAGTAGTGGCTGAAGTAGTGGCTATGCAGCATTTTTTTAAGACTTCTGACCTTAACTTCCTTAAGACACTTTCCCTTTCACCTTTGTTAGAAGATCATTTCCCAGTCCTTCCAAAACTAGAAAAATACATGCAAACATTTATTTAGATTTAGACTATTTTTAACGTAGTTTTCAAATTAAAAAACAAGTATAGAAAATGTTGATAAATACCAAAATTTGAATAAAATCAGTTTTTTATAAAAAGCTTATGACTAGTAATAATAAAATATTACCAGTTAAGTAAAAGGATGAGTTCATCCCCCTTTAACTATGAAATTTCCTCCTCCGCACCGATTGAGAACTGCGCTAGATAAGCTGCAACTTCATTTTCAAAGTTTCTTTTCAATGATGTGCCCGCATGGGGAGAGACCTGAAAACAAAAGTAAAATGATATTAATAACACGAAGATCCCAATTCATTATGCATTTATTAATTAACTATGAAGAGATACTTAATTTAATAATTCATTAAAATAAGCTTAATATTTGTTTTAAAGATGCTTTTAACAGATTCAATACGAATATTGTTTTCATCTGAAGAGGGAACCAATAATCATCGAAGCGAGAAATTATTAATTTTGCTGCAATTTTCAACATTTGTTTTGAAAGATTTTAATTATACCTGTACTTAATTTCATTAATTTCTTATTTTTTGCACTAGTTTGGGTACGAATTTTCCCCTGATTCTTTACGGTTTAAGGTCGGTTTTCATATTTTGTCTCTATCCATGCCTCTCAGCATTATTACACTTTCCACATTATCTTCTTCTAAGATAACTTTTGTCTTTTTCTTTGTCTTTTCCCATCTCAGACTTAAGACAGACAGACCTGGAAATTATGTCTTATACAAGTCTTCCAGTATGTGTCTTAGTTAACCCACCTTCAGTATTTATATTTTTGATGACATGCTTTTTGTCTGAGTTTCTGCATGTTATTTGGCGCTTGCAAATAACGTATGGGCAAAAATATCCTTACAGTTACAAAAAACACGTAGCTAAATATACATTAGAAAATGACCTCACTTTAGTACGGAAGCTTTGCATGTAAAAGTGGCGACATTTCTACATTTTAACTAATTACAGCTTAATGAGTAATTTACTATTTGAAATTTTACTTTGCAAAGGATATATAAAAAATTACATTTTTACTGGACCTATCCCATTTTCAGATCAACACTGAATCAGTTGACCAAAAACCACACAATTAATCAGCAAATTATATAACTATGTATCTAGGCTTGATATTTAAGATAATAAAATCGATAGCCCCTTCTTGACAACAGTGTATTCACGTGAATAATTAATACGGTCAGAATATTGTTTGGGTTATCGCAAGACAAACAAAACGGTTGTAATGTGAAAAATTTAGATTACAGTATAAAACCTTGAAGAAATTAAAATAAAAATAAAAATTTCTAAAAAAAATGTTTTTAAATAAAAATCGAAATTAAAAAATTGATATGACATTATTGGAAATTAATGCCACCTGCAACTTGTGCATTTATTTAGTAAAAAAAATCTGATTTAGACAAAACATGACTCTTTGTCCGCCTATTAAATTATACACAGTTGTGGCTGCACTTCATTTAAACTTATTTTTAAAAAATTTTATAACTTAACAATCCGATCGCTCAAACAAAGTTAAAAATGACATCAAACATTACAAATTTTGAAATTAAATATCCCAGTCAATTTTTTTCGTACGAGAGGTTTTTCATAAAGAGTATAAAAGTTTCCCAGGTATAAGTATTGGGACTGTAAGACCGCATTAAAAGTTAGATTTCGTTATTAGTTAATAATGCCTGCGCGAGGACAACTTAAACGTAAAAAAAGGAAATGTAATTTTTCTAATGAGAAAGCATACAAAAAAGTAAAAAAATCAAAAGATATGTCTAAATTATCAGTTTTAATAACTTTACAATTTTTTTTTTATTTAAAGGCTCGAACTTTTAAGCAGGAGATTTAAACCTTTCCTAATAAAAATGAAAACCCGAAAAAGTGACCAGAAATATTCTGTATGTAAAAAACATTGATACCTGAACGAGGACACTTTGAGAGAGTTTCAAATTTTCTAATATTTACCTTAAAACTGAAGCATTAAAACGAAAGTGAAATTGTTTAAAAAAATTAAGATATGCATAAAATGAAATTTCTTAACGAGATAATGATTTTTTAAAAAAATGACGAGGACAAATTATATAATAAAATTTAAATAACTATTGACAATAACTTGTTGAAATTTAAATAACTTGACTACTACGAGGGAAAAATTATAAAAATTAAAAAATGGATTATGTTTAAAAATACCAATTACTTAACATAATAAAAATTAGATTTTCGAACGAATATTTACATGAAAAAAAAAAAAAAAAACAATCTTAAGGAGGTGCTTGAACGGTAAAAGCTATGCGAGTAAGTACACACTATCTGCTTGCAAGTGAAACTTTTATTACTTTTATGAAAGCATAACGTACTTCCTGCATTTTCTCCATCAAGCTCTTGATCTTGAAATCATGCCGATTCAATTAACCAAGAATTTTTTTAGAATTTCATTTTTGACTGTTATTTTTTTCAGCAGAAGTCACTTTGAGAAGTGACGAGTATCTTCGCATACAATGATTTCAGAGGATTCTGCAATATTAAAAAACCTTTCACTTAACTCCCGTCTAACATGGCTTTAGTGAATACGCAAATAACATCCGATAAAAGAGAAATTCATTAGCAAAGAACAATGATTATTTACAGAACGTAAAATATTTTTTAAAAGAAAAACTAATTATATTGAAAAAATAATTTATTTAGAAAGAACAAAAATTAAATAATAAATTTATATTTCAAAATATAAATTGTTCAGTTTTTATAATATAAATAATTAATTAATAAATGTGCTGAATTATTATAATAGTTTTTTAAATATAAATAGCTTAATTAATAAAATATAAGTATTATTATTTTTGAATACATAAAAGCATTGTAATTAGGAAGAATACGAAATAAATGTATATTTTAAAAAATTCTTTGAACAAAATATTTAGGAGATTTCTCAATCCAAGAGTACATGTACTTAAAATGACAGAGAAATTAAAAATATAGCATAGATAAAAGTATATGTAAAAAATGTTTAATTAGAAATAATTAGATTTTTGGAAATTGTTTAGCCAGATATTTCAGAACCATTTTCCTGAAGATAACTTCGGTGACTTCTTCAGACAAATACGTTTTCAGAATAAGGTCGCAATTTTTTATTTTGTCAATATACTTAATTATGAAAGGTTTTGAAAGAGTTTGATATTTGAAAACCTCATTCTAATATATAACATCTTTCAAGCATTCTACAGTATTTTCGGATGATTTTATATTTAGGAACTAATGTTATATTTAACGTACCAGAGTCTCTATTATGTAACTATCGATTAATGTTTGAAATTCTGAAATTTTTTCCCAATCCACTTTAGAAGCATTTTCCATTATAAACTTTTCAGTTAAATGTTTATTCTCGATTAGAAATCTTTCTGATAGTCTTTGATATGCATAAATATTATGTTAATATACTTTATATTCTAAAACTATGTTTATATTCTAAAATTAAAAGCTATGATTATATCTGACATTTTGAAATTATTGTGAAATCCACAGTATTTTCAAAATTTCTAATCAAAATCTGGAATCCTCGTAACTTCTGCCCAATTGATTTTCATTTATATAGTACAATTTTTTCCAGCGCATAAATATAATATTCATTATTTACTTTTCCTTTGAAATAAAAAATATAATCTCCACTATTTATTTCTCCAGTGGCTTCATCCGAGAGTTTACCACCACACGTTTTAAGCTAATAACTTATTTCTTCATCATCTACTGTTTGTTAAATCTCCAGATTTTGACAGGGTATTTTAAAAATATCAGAATATATTTTATTGAATTTATGTCACTCAATTTAAGAGTTTTAGTTTAAGATTAAAAGCTGTTGAATTACTCCATTATTTATTAATGATAAAATTTTTAGAATGACTTAATGCTCCAGTGTCAGTTCCATCTTTAAAGTAATTAGTTTATCATTTGTAGATAATGAGCTTTTAGATAATTATCATTTTTTACGTGTTGATATTATTCAAATAATTCTGCTCCTAAAAGAGCCGAATTCAACTGGTTTTATTTCTTAGTAGCAAAATCCATATTCTACGGTTCGTTTGAAAAATTTACATTGTTGTTCAGTGTTAACCAGCAAGAAGTTATACCTGAGTTGTCAAATATCATATTTTCACTTTTATGTTATTTTTCTCTTTTGATGCACTTTGAAATCACACAGACACTTAATAATTCGTCTGATCAGTATTTAACTTGACATACCATCCCTGTTTTTCAGTGTGTTTGATCTTTCAACTGTAAATACATTTCAGTTTATTTCAAAGCACTTATCTGAAATTTGTTAGCTCTAAGATTTTTATTTCAGTATCATTTGTGAAAGTAATAGGTGGAACTATAAAACTCGTTTATTTTATTATAATTTTATAAATTTTATAGTCGTTCATTATCATTTGTGTATAAATATTCACATATTTATTCCTTTCAAATTGCATTTAATCTTCAAAACCTGTAATAACCCAATTGCATTCATCAAAGAAGGTAAATACAGATTTCAAGAGTGTATAAACATTTAGCAGCTTGACTGTCTTTTATAACTGAGTCTTTCTGAAAAACCTCGACTGTACCTTTTATCAGTTTTACTTTTCTAGTAAATCTGATAACATTTTTACGTCCTCATTAGTTCTAGAAAATCTTTAAAAAAAGTGTCTGCATGATCTGATGTATCTTGCAGGAAAAAATGCGGGAATATATGCTTGATATTGACAATTGCAATAGGAAAGGGAGATGCACAAATAGATGTTATAGTAGTCCGATATACAAAATTTCCACGATCTACAGTTAATGGTTTTCGAGTTATGAGAGATTCATTCATACATACATACCGCGTCACAAAAAAAAAAAAAAAAAACGATTTTTAATAAATTTTATAATTCGTTTTAGAATAAAGAGTACATTATTATTTTTATATGTATAGGGCAACGCAAAAGAATTCTCAAAATGGATTCGAGAGCAACCAAAATGGATATTTCCTTTGAAGTTCTGAAACCAGAAAATTTCTTGATTACAATACTTCCTTTAATTCTTGCAAGGAAGTAAAAAGGCTTAATTATTCAAGACAATGAAAATTATTTCACTAGGTCGCATTATTTGAAGTTTTCTATTTTGTCAAGACATAAAAACAAAAGAAATAAGGGAGGAATTCCCTCGAAGAGGTTTCCTTTAATGTATTTAGAAAAAGTAATGAAAAAATATATGGAAAGTAAAAATATTCACAGCTTTGTCATTCTTTATAAAATGTTAATTGATTATGCAAGTTTCGATTTTAAGTTAGAATCGAACATAATAATATACGTTAAAAATTAACTTACGCACTTTAAAAACTAACTGAAAAAATACGTTACGTTTCAATAGACTGTTATGTAGTATAACGCATCACTCAGACCACCTAATTAATCTAAAGAAAAGTATCTATGTAAATTTCAATTTAAAATAAGTACTGTTTTGATTTTATTTTGCTTGTTTTTTGTTTTAGTTAAGGAAAAGATTTGATGGAGAGTTAAGTCCTAAAATGTACGAGGATACCTATATGTTCCACCGATTTTTAAAAGGTATGTTAACTAAATTCTTTTCATTTACTTACGATGTAGTAAAAGCTGTTCAAATTAAAAGTATGCACATTTCTCAAAACGGAAAAATATTTGTCTCCTTTGAATCTGACGCATATTTTGATATGAATCTATTTTATTACATGAAGTTTTCCTCGATGTTTAATTCTGGTTTATAAATAATTTTTCCTTTTGAAATTTCAGCTCGAAATTTCAATATAAATGATGCCGAAACTATGCTCAGAAAGGTTGGTAATAATTAACTTTTTCCCTTTATCTTACAATTGTAACATTTAAATTCCTTAAAATTCCTTAAAATGTTTAATTTAAAGAACACTTTGCTTATGTTTGAATAAAACATAAGTTATAAGTTAAACTTTTAATCATTTTATTTTCAAAGAAAAAAAACTTAAGAAGTATATATTCTGTACACGAATGGCAAATTATGTCTTATATATCATGAAAAATGTAATATCATTAGCAATAATTTTAATTTTGCCTTATTTTCATTATAAAGTTATTTTTTTCAAGGTATCTATTTATTGTAGTTTTGTCCGGAAACTAATAAAATATATTTTCAGCAAGGTAGATATGTCTAAATTTGGTATATCCAGCAATAATAAGCAATTCTTTCATTAAAAGCTTTTTATCGTTATTTAGTATTCTGTTAAATGCTTTTACTGAATTCCATTTTGTTTTTAAGTCAGACGTCTATTATTCTGTTCATATAGGCAGTCATCAATTTAGTCGTTTTCTTAATCAGAAAACTTTTTAGTGTCTGTATCCAAATTTTATATATTCAAATTAACATCCACCTGCTTCTCTAATTTACATTCCAGTTTTAGCAAAATGATTAGCGTTTGGATCCGTATTTTCGGTAAAAGTGACACATCTCATTTTGTTGGCGCAAAACCATTTTAAATGCCATGCTGTGTTGTACGTATAAAAATTATGCACGTATCTAATGGTACACTTAAATTAAAAGATCTTTAGTTTTAGTTTTTGGTCTCCGTAAAAGCGAGTCTTCGTAAGTCGACGACAATATGTATATACATTCTATTGATAAAAACTACCACTAGTTTTACCTGCTTTGGAGCTAAAATAAAAAAAATCATAATAAACTCAAAAATCAGAATTTCGCATATTCACTAGTTTTCGCATGTTTTAAAAATGTGAATTGTAACAAGATGATTCATCGTATTCTGCGGCGATAAATTTGAGTACGAATGCTGAGCCTTAAGCTTCGAATACGTGCTTACATGTGGCTATCTTTTAGATGGTATTCTAAGCTTAATAATAGGAATTCTGTTAAACAAATAATCATTATTACCCAAACTATTTTACTGTTAATTACGAATTTTATTTAAAAGTACTGAAACAATATAAACATTCAGCAACAACAAAATAAATTAATTAATCTTTTGCTATTTTTGTAGTTCGTTTAAGATCCGTAGTCGAATGGAAGAAAATCAGCTTTATACCAGTCTTAAATTTTTAATTAATCGCCTTATACTCGGACATAAATTTGATTTATATCAATCTAGAAAACATTAATGCACTTTTTTGTCTTTACATAGCATCTTGAATGGAGAAAGGCAGAAGATATTGACAACATCTCTTCCTTTAAACCTTCTGAGGTAAACATTTCAGTTTTCAAAAATGTTTTATGTATGAGAACTTTACTAACATTTTCAATTAACAAATGCATATGATTGTATAATAGAATGCATATGAAATGCATATGATGCATATAATTGTATTGAAATGCATATGATTGATGAAAAGTGTATTAACAAATGGATATGATTGTATGTTATAACATAGCATAGCTTCGTTGCAAATAATATCAAACTAATCTACGTACATATTTTCTAAAGCAATATATCATGAAGGGAAGGATTTATTACATAAGAATGAAGACGGAGAATTTTTTGTTAATAATTAAGGAAAAAAAATTATTTTATAAAAAAAGAAACAATTATTAAGTTAATAATGTTTTGAAATGCTTTATTTTCATAAGCAGAGTAATAAATAAAACGTAAGATACTAATACTTTCAAATATCGTTAACATTTTCCTATTAGCACCGGTTTTTAAATTTTGTTACGTTTACAGCCAAATACAATTTTTCAAATCCTTAAGCAATATGGATATTTACCTTTTTCGTCAGTTACATACAATTGTCTATTTTCAGTTCATATTGTCTTTAAAATGCAATCTGGAAATATTAAAATGAAACGATCATTTAAACATTTATAGAACGTTTATAGAAAACATTCTTTTCATGAAAGGTTATTTAAGCAAAGTAACTATTACAGACGTTTCTAAACATAATTTGGCATCTTTTCGTGCAATCAAATTTAAACAAAAATCCCTAATTTATATACGATTAACTTTTTGATGAAGACGAAGCGCACTCGGGCTATCTGCCTTAACAAGTTTCATCCCCAGCTTTTTAAACCTCGCTTCTGTTCAGGAGAGCTGAGCATACTTCCAATTATATTGATTCAATCAATGATGTCAAAAATGAAGCTTTTTTTTTAAATTTTATTACTCACTATGTTGCGAGGAACAACTGAAGAATGCAAATTCCCTGCTATAGCGACCTATGGTGCTCAGGCGCATATTTAAGTCATTTAATTTAGGTATATAGCCATCTATTTAATTCCTTTGCCGTATTTTTCAGTGCTGTAGCTAGAAAAACCTGTAAACAGAAAGAAATTGCTATAAGTATTTTAAATTCTTGATAATATAATATCTGTTTTAAATAACAGTATACAAGTATAACAATTGTTCCTTTGTCAGAAGATTGTACATTTTTCGGCGATTTTGCATAATTCCCCATTTTAAAAACATGACAAAAACTAGCCCATAGTTCGTTTATTTCCATGGCTGACCTTTTTCAAGCTGTTTGTCTCTTAAATGCTCGCTGTGCTGCTGCTATTATTGCATCAAACAAACTTGCACGTGTCTCATATTGTCAGAAATTGGAATGAGGTACATTTCTAGCTTTCAGAAGGAGAATATACTGTATGTCACATCGGACAGATTATAAGCAACTACTGAATATGACGCATGTTTTTAATTAAAAGAAATATTAATTTTACAATCAAGACAAATTTTGCTCCTTAGTTTTGAAAATCTGATAATTGTAGATTAATGTCTATCATTGTCACTTTTCATAAAAGAGATTTTACTTCATTACAAAAAATGATATTTTTGATATACATAAGTGAGATCACTGGATATAGGAAAGAAAAACGAGATTATTCTGGTATTCATTTGCGTTCAGTCCGTTGTCTCAATATAGCTGTGTCTAATGGTTCGGTCGCCCAAAGTGCAAAAGATGACTAAGTGTGGTTTTCTTGGCCTTACCAGTCTCCAGAAAAGTTTCCTAATAAATATTTCTCTCTGCAGATGTATCAAAGAAGCAGAATATATTATATACATTACAAGAAGTTCACCAGTGAATTTTTTACATTTGGAATCGCTACATCATGAAATGCAGTTAACTGTATTTTGAAATTGATTACTTCTTTGATACATAACAATTTATGTACTACATATACAATTTATGAACAAGATGCACATAAATAATATACAAGAAACTTTCATTTTTCCTTCATCAGGTGATATATGACATGGTTTCTACATTTATAAGAAACAACAAATTTTGGTATTTAGTTATTAGTAATAAAGAAAATATTTTTTTTATGCTTCGGGACATGAAATGTGATAAATCACCAAATGTTTTGGCTTAATTTCTACATTAAATAGCTCCTTTTTTAAACTAAGAAACAAAAATGCTATGGTCATCAGCGACAGTTTCTTGATCAAGGCAATATATTGACTTCAGAGTGCTTCATTTCATCACATTTTAATTGAATATCTGGAAGAATCTGAATTTATCATGGATCTTTCATTTGAACAATAAATATACGTAGCGTATTCGGAAACTAAGTACCGTTTCATTTATGTACATATACCCGTATATATATAGGCATCCCGCACATGCGCACTAGTCTTTCTTGTTCACTGACTTTCAATTGTCGCCATTTTGGTTGCTCTATGTTGTGTTTTCAGTTTGCTGTGCACATTCAAAATGTTTAAGACAATTAGTTCTCCCGCTGACTGTGAGATTCGTGCCGTTATTAAATTTTTGAACGCGAGGAATGCTAAACCGGCCGAAATTTATCGTCAAGTGACAGAAGTTTACGGTGAATACGCGATAAGTGATGGAATGGTGAGAAAGTGAAGAATGTTTAATGCAGGTCGAACAAATGTCCACGCTGAGGCTCGGAGTTGTCGGCATTCTGTTGTCACCGATGATTTGGTAAGGAAAGTTGAAGCAATTCATAAGAACAGACGCTTCAGAGTAACAACTCTTTCAGAGGCATTTCCACAAATTTCACGTACTGTTTTGTTCGAAATTGTGTCCGACCTCTTGAATTATCGCAAACTGTGTTCCCGATGGGTTCCAAAAATGCTTACTGATGTTCACAAAACAAAGCGACTTGGTAGTGCCCTGACATTTCTCACGCGGTACAGTGATGAGGGAGAAAACATTTTAAACCAAATTGTGATAGGTGATGAAACTTGGGTGTGTCATTTCACACCAGAATCGAAACAACTATCGATGGAGTGGAGACACACTCATTCTCCGAAAAAACAAAAGTTCGAAGTGACAATGTCACCGGACTTGGCGCCGTCCAACTATCACTTGTTCCTGCACATGAAGCGCGAGCTTGGTGGCAAGCGCTTTGGATCTGACGGTGACACGAAAAATGCTGTGGAGTCGTGGTTATCGAAACTGGCGGGAAGTTTCTTTGACGATGGTATACAAAAACTGGTCACCCGCTATGACATGTGTTTGATCATTGACGGAAACTATGTTGAAAAATAGTTTAAGACATGTATTTTCATGTAAAAATGAAACTGGATTCGAAAAAATTGTTTTACTATTTTTTTTTTTTTTTTTTTTTTTTTTTTTTTTCAAAACGGTACTTAGTTTCCGAATACGCCTCGTATAACAAATCGAACTTCATTAATTATTCTCTTGCTGATACATGTAAAATTTCTTGCTGATGCATGTAACTAAGTACACTGGAATATCTTTCAGATGTATTATGGAAATTAAATCAACCAAATCTCTGTCTATTAGGTAGGATTAATTTCCAATAATGTCATGATTAATTTCTGATTTTGATTAATTAATATTTTCTGATTAATTAATATAATATGACCAATTTCTGAACCTCATTACCAACAAAAACGGATTATACTGAACCGCACAGTAGTACATTTTTTTAACGTATTCATGTGAGAAATAATTTTTTATCACTTATTGAATGAGGTTAAAAAGGAAGTTAATAAAAGTATTAAAATCGGCTTGATGTATGTACCGATCTCAAATTTAAGCTTTCCACACACAGAGCAGCTATTCAAGGAATCGGCAGGCACATTCATTTAATTAATGTGAATATCAACTATGGAAGTTTTACATAATAGAATAAAGATTATTCAAAATCTAATAGCCTTATATATTCAAAAGAATATAAATTTTCTTCTGTTATCTTAGTTTCTTAATAGCGTATCAAATTAAATCAATTTGAATGAATCATATTTAAAAATGTAAATACACTGTAATATATGGTAAAAATTGCTTTGAAAGGAAGGATAAAAGTAAGGTGATACGCGGAATATTCTAATTTATAAAAGTGGCCACCACTTAAAAAAATTGAGAAACGGTGAATTATTGTATTAATGTAGTGTGTGCTCCGCTAAATACGGCCTTCTTTCTTTAAGTAAAATTAGACTTTTATTTATTTCATTTTTTTATTCCTTTTAGAAATAATTTTATTTCTTTTACAGAAAACAACTAGATTTTTTTAAATTTACTCATTTTATTGATTTTAGGTATTGCAGAAATTTATGGCTCAAAGTATATGTGGATACGATAAAGATGGATGTCCAGCCCGATACATTCCTTTTGGCAAATTAGACCCAATAGGTAAAAAGTCGTTTAAGTATAGAATTTACGTTGCGCGCCTCTAACTAGCACGCAACCAAGAGGTGACTGTGAAAGCTTGTATAAACAGAGTCTTATAAAGGGTTTAAGTCCCTTTTTATTCAACGTACTAAATTACAATTGCGTCCTCTTGACGCTTACAACTGGTGCCAACTAGGCAGTCAAATAAAAAATAATAACCTGAAAAGAAAGTAAAGACAAGATTCTAACTACGAGGCTCTCTAAAATAACTAACTCACCGCGTTTTACAATACCGCTGCTAATTCAGCAGACTTGAAGCTCACTGGAACAATTGCCAACTACTTCCCGCCAAGCACATAGGCCGCAACGCGGGGTTCTTCAATTCTCGATAACTACCTCCGCGCTCGCTAAGTAAGAATAACTCTCTCACCGAACTTGTTTCCTTCTATTTAAATCATACTACTTCCGCTGATAATTTGAATGCTTGCGCGTTCTACTCAAATTTACATATTCTGGCATTGGCAGTTCCAGGGGAAAGTAAGGCTTGACAGGAAAGATAGTTTAAACTTAAAATAAATGTTAGTTAAAATAAATATAAACCCTACATTTGCCGCTGCCAGAATTTGGAAAACTTGGAAGCAGGTCCTACAAACGACCTGTTGTAAGTTTATCTAATTCTGAACTAACTGGCGAAGGCCTCGTTTACACAGAAAAAATCTTATGTAACAATTAAAATTCTGTTGTTACAAAGCTTTCTTCTTACAGCAACTTTTCCTGGACTTCATCAATCAATCTTGGTCTTTCCTTCCAGCATCTGGAAGGAATAAGTATCAGTATCTTTCTACATACATTATAATTTACACTTTCTTGACACAATAAATTTTTGTTTTTTAAACGATTCGTTTTTCTTAGTTATTGCTTACTTCACATTCATTCAATTTTTCAAGCATTAATTTAACTTTACCCTGGCTCTCCACCATGTGTGGTGTCAAACGGGAATATTCGTGTTTTAGTCTTACAACACTTCCCCTAACCACCATGATTTGTTAGAATTCAACAACCAAATAGACACACCTTACTCGACATTCTACAACTCAATCAATGAGCTACTTTAATATTCTTAAAATTCAAATGTAGGTGGAGAACCCTACAAAACACATTCATTCTAACTTCCCCCTCATTCATCTTTAAACATGCAGGCTTTCGCTCTAAAGCATGACTTTACAGTTTAATACTTAAATTTTGACTTCATTGCTTTTAAGCATTCACTTTTAGCATCTACAATTTTATGCTTCTAGACTAAATTCTACTTTTACATAACATTCAAGTATTTACATACATTTACAAAAGTTTAATACATATGCTTTTTACAATTTACCATAAAATGAATAAGAGAAAATAAATTTTTACTTTACTCATTCTTCGCCAAGCTGGCGGCACTGAAACTAAAATTCTTATTAATACAAGAATACGAAGTTATTTTTATCTTCGGCCAAATTTTGGCTTTAACATAACAGAATTAGTCTTTCGACCAACAGAAAATGCTTGTTTTTAGCTTTTACACTTAAAGAAAAAAATAATACTTTTGCCTTAGCTAAATAAAGTAAAACAAAACTAAGTCTCAACCGAGACATATTGACTTTCGTCAAAACATAGAACTTCGTACTTATGCATAACATTTCGGAACAAAAGAGAAAAAAAATTTATAGAAGGTTTTAACTTATCTTTGAGTTTTCGATGCTTGAAACTCCGTCATCCGTTTTTTTGGCAAAATTGATCCCAAGTTAGAGGTTTCATGGATGTCAATCTTCTCCTTATTGATCTCCGAGTGTCGTCCACGTTGCTCTTTCTTTTGCGTCCTCTACATGCTGGCCTCTTGACGGAGTAATCGTCTGGTTGTTGGCCTTTTGCGTTTCTGCCTGGGACGGCTGGTCTTGACGTCCTCCGGTCTGGAGTCCTTCTTGAATTTCTTCTGTTCCTCGTATTTTTGTGCCTCCTGTTGGCGTTTCAGTTTCCGGAACGGCGGCCTTGCTGGCACCTGACTCTGTGGCCGTGTGCGCGTTCTCCTTGATGTGTAATTTCTCCTGCCATCTTTTGTAGGTGGTGTTTTTCTCTTTACCACGGTTTCTTTACCCGGTTCATCTGTATTTTGTTTTTCTTAAACGCCGGAGTTTGAAAATCATTTTTTCTTTTTGATACCGACGTCCGGGTTGTAGAAGTGCTAGGTCTCTCTTCAGTTCTCTGTTTCTTGGGTGGTGGAATAGTTGTTGCAGTCTCTGGCCCTTCTATTTCGTTTAGACTTGAGTCCTGCAAGAAACTTTTAAGGATTTCAAAATCATTTGGATTATAGTATTTTTTCACCTGGTCGGGACTTGCTTTACAGATTTCCCCTCTCTCGTTTTTAAGATATAATACTACTCCTTTGATTTCCTGAATTACATAGGGGCCTTCAAACTTTGGAGCTAGCTTTGCCATAAAATTGTCTGGGGCACTTGATAAAGAAAATTTCCGTTTTCAATACTTTATCCCCAACTTTAAAATCTGCTTCACGGCGTTTTCTATCGTAATATAACTTTTGCCTATTTCTTGCCGTATCCGAGGTTTTTTAAGCGCCTGATCAATTAGCTTTTGCACATCTTTTGTTTAAATTCCTGCTCTCTTTGTTGCACAAAGAATAATTTATCTAAAGGCGTAATTAACTTTCTGCCTAAAAATAATTCTGCTGGAGTTTTTCCCGTAGTATCATGATGTGCCGTTCTTAAAGCATAAGCTAATTCATTTATGTAGCCATCCCAGCGCTTGTGATGTGTGCTAACGTAACTGCGAATTATTTTTACAATGTTTTTATTAACTCTTTCTGCTATGTTAGCCTGTGGTCTATACGGAACCATTTTGATATGGCGTATGCCAAGTCCATTGCATATGTTTTCAAATATTTGACTAATGAATTGTTTTCCGTTATCGCTAATGACTTTTATCGGTGCACCGTATTTTAAAATGTATCTGTGTAAGAATGCATCTGCGACTGTTTTGGCTGACGCGCGTTTAAGTGGAACAATTTCTATCCATTTTGAAAAATGATCTACTATTACTAAAAGAAAACGATTTTTATTTAACTCGCTCTGGGGGAAGGGACCAAGGAGATCTATGCCTAAAATTTCATTCGGAAATGTAGCGCGAATGCTATTTAAGTACCCGGCCGGGCTGTAATTAATATCATTTATTAACTGACATTGATTGCAGGACCTGACATACGCCGTTACTATTTTGTATAATTGCGGGAAATATACCGCCTCGCGTACCCTTTTTAAAGTCTTTCTGACCCCGAGGTGGCCCGCTGTTTTTTTTTTCGTGCAACTCCTTCAAAATGCTTAATCGAAGCGAGGCTGGGATGACTGGCTTATACTCAAGATTTTCGTTTGTTGTTTTCGTATAGAATAATAAATTATCTATTATTTCATAGTTTTTTGCTCTATTTCTTATCGCATCGATATCTGTATGCTCAAAGCTTTCGGGGTCTTTCAAATAAGCATAGATATTTCCAAATTCAGGATCAGCTTTCAGTTCAGTAATAACCGTATCTCTAGAATCTAAAATTTTTGAAGTCAACACAGCGCATTTAAGTTCATTACCTTCATCGTCCAGTTTTATACGAGAAAGTGCGTCAGCTACATTGTTTTCCTTACCCGGTTTATATTTATTGTGATGATATTATATTCTTGGAGTTTTAAAGCCCATCTTATTAACCTGGGCGTTAGGTTTTTTCCCGAGTAAAGTCTACCAACAGCCGCATGATCCGAAAAGACTGTTACTGGCGATTTGCCGAAATAAACTCGAAATTTGTGTACAGCCATTAATACGGCTAATGTTTCTCTTTCTGTAGCTGTATAATTCCTTTGTGTTTGATTCAATGTTTTTAAAAAATGCCAGCGGATGGTTATTTTGCATAAGAACCGCACCACCGCATAGTCTGATGCATCATCTGCCGCAATTTCCAGGTTTTCGTCCCCCTCAGGGAATTTTAAAACAGGGGCATTAATAAGCGCTTCTTTTAATCTTTCAAAAGCTGTGTTAGCTTCCGCTGTCCACGTAAATTTACTCTTTTTTCTTTTGATTACTAAGAGTGGTTCAACAATATTAGCGAAATCTTTTATGAAAGATCGATAGTAAGAACATAATCCAAGGAAAGACGAAAGTTTCTTGGCGGTGTTGGGCGGTGGGAAATTCTTAATAGCTTTTATTTTTGAATCTTGCGTTTCTATACCCTTTTGCGAAATTTTATAACCGAGATATTTAAGTTCTTTAGTTGCGAACTTGCATTTTGAGGCGTTAATTGTAAGACCGGCCTCTTTTAATAATTTAAAAACTTGTTCGAGGTCATTAATGTGTTGTTCCAACGTACTACTCGTTATAATTATATCATCTAGATAAATTAAAGTTGATTTTCCTAGGACAGGCTTTAGAACAATGTCCATAGCTCTCTGGAATGTTGATGGGGCCCCACACAACCCAAAAGGCATGCGTAAAAATGCATAAGTGCCCGATTTTGTTATAAACGCGGTTTTATGTATATCTTCGGGTCTCATAGCTATTTGATAGTAGCCAGACGTTA